ATATAATATATATATATTATATATTTATTTTATTATATATATATATATATATATATATATATATATATATTGAATATAATACATTTATACAATATTTATTTCATTATATTTATCATTTTTGAGAGAAAAATAATTTCAAATGAAAATACTTTTTGGTTCCAAAAATATTGGAGTTCCCTTCATCTAGTGACCTCATTGCACCACCAACGGTTGCGACCTCATTGCACCACCAACGGTTGCGAGACGTATGTCATCATACCCCTTATGCCTTGGGCGACACACATGCTACAATGGCCTAGACAAAGGGTCGCGATCACGCGAGGGTGAGCTAACTTCAAAACTCGTCCTTAGTTCGGATGGCAAGCGACCAGGGCGACACACGTGCTACAATGGCCTGGACAAAGGGTCGCGATCTCGCGAGGGTAAGCTAACTTCAAAACCTGTCCTCAGTTTGGATTGTAGGCAGGAACTCGCCTGCATGAAGCCGAAATCGCTAGTAATCGCCGGTCAGCCATATGGCGGTGAATTCGTTCCCCGGCCTTGTACATACCACCCGTCACACTATGGGAGCTGGCCATGTCCGAAGTCGTTACCTTAACAGTAAGGAGCGAAGGCGGGGCTAGTGACCGGAGTGAAGTCGTAACAAGATAGCTGTACTGGAAGGTGCGGCTGGATCACCTCCTTTTCAAGAAAGTCAAAATCGCTAGTAATCGCCGATCAGCCATACGGCGGTGAATTCGTTCCCGGGCGTTGTACATACCGCCCGTCACACTATAGGAGCTGGCAAAATTACTTGTTTAAAAATTTGTTATGATAAATTAGAACATTTTGTAGAGATCATTGGCAATGTGCTGACAGCTCGAGATCCTTAAAATGAAAGATAAATATTTAAAGGAGGTCAAGCGAGAGGTGATCTTGAACAAGAGGGCCCATGAGGAGGAATCCTCATAGTTATTCATGCATATCTGTTAATATATGTATTGTTATCCATGTCTACAGGTATTATAGAACCTATATAAAGCTCAGGAAGACATTGACGCTGAGGACGAAGATGAGGGGTTTTGGATAGGAGGCTCAGAAAGATATTGATGCTGAGGACGAAGATGGGGGGGTTTTGGATCGGGAGGCATTTGATGCCGCTCTTTATTTGACAATATAGCCGAGCGGAGTGGTACCTTCCAGATCGGGTGCTAAGACAGTTTGGCTTAAGGCAGCCCATTTTAGCAAATCTTGATAGATGGGATAGAGCAAAGAGGTGGGGTAAAAATGAAGAAAATTATGAGCAACCGTTCGCACCCCAAATCAGAGCATGGTGCAACCGGCTTGACTACTGCCATATGGGCAAGCTATATTGTCATATGAGCAAGCCAGACGAGAGTCATGGTTTGCCTTCAAAGGAGTATGAAACATGGTACATGCAGGTTTCCATCCCTATAACTCAGATAACCCTTGGACGGATGGGTATACACCTCAAGGTTATGGCGATATCATGGTAACTTGATTTCAGTTCAAATTTGTAATCTATAATTTTCTTTTACCTTCTTTGTCATGTCAATACCCTGAGTATTGTAATTGCGGAGATACAGGGACCAAAGCAAACCATTTTGTAGAGATTATTGACAATGCGCTGGCGGCTCGAGACCTTAAAAGGAAAGATCGATATTTAAAGGAGTTCAAGCGAGAGGTGATCTTGTCTTGAGGAAGAACAAGAGGCATATGAGGAGCAATCCAGTGAAGAAGAGCTCGTATCAACTGCTGAGCGGCAGCTCTAGATGGACAGAGGACGAGTTCCAAGACGACGATCTGCACGGTATCAGGGTCCCAGTGCGCCACCCACCCACTGATGTCAAGAAGCATAGTAAAAGCATTGCCCGCAAAAGACGAACTTGATTTTTTGTTGCAAAACTTTTCATATGGTGAACTTTTGATGTAAATTTGAATCGTTTTGTAATTTTTTTTTCTTAGATTGGATTTTAGTCGGTTTTAGTTGTGGGTATTGTAGTTCCATTTCAAGATTTTGGCGTTTAGATTTTGTAGTGAAACTTTGCAGAATTTCGTGTGTTGACAACATTTTTGTGTAGGGTTTGAGCTTCTTGAGTTTTCGGTGAATAAAGTACTACGATGTTGGCTTATGTGACTTTGCACCAAATTATAAATGACATCATATTTTACAAGGTTGAGGTTTGTATAAGGTGCCACCTTATATTATGTAGGTAAGGTGCACCTCTAAATTTTGTTGAAAGATATAATTTTGGTGTCAAAAACCTCACAATGGCGTAAAAAACTATATTCACCCCCAATTATGAAATTTAAATTCCTCAAAAATAGTTTAGATTGGGTTGTTCTATAAAATATTGAAAATAGAAAGTTTGAGTAACTTATTAGGATATGTAATGGTTTTAAGATTTAAAATTCTTTTTCTTCTTTATATTTATACATCTCGAGGTTGAGATGATCAATTGAAAGGTTTTCAAACTTTAGAATACTCTTTTCTACTGGATTTTTGACATGCACCTTACTTCTATAATATAAACTTGCAGCCCTATATAAGCTTTTCCCCTTGTACAATCCGATTAGCAATTTCTTAGCATGATTAATGCAGAAACTAAAATCTCATATTATATACAATCTCAATAAGTACCAATTTCATTCACCGGTAATTCGAGAAGGATATCTCATATAGAGGTGGCAATTGGATGTGAAAATCCATTTGTGAAATGGAATGGGGCAAATTCATATAATATAAGCGATCAAATGAAATATGTCGATTAAGAAAACCCTGTAATTGATCATCTCAACCTTGAGATGCATGGATAATTTAAAAAAAAACAGATTTCAAATTCAAAGAAAAGAAATCTTTTAATGCATTATTTAGACCATCTAGTTTCAAAATTTTCAAGTATATATATATTTGCTTGATCGGGATCATTTCTGGAGCTTTAAATTTAACAATTAGGACTGGAAATATATTTATTGGCCATTTTACGATTTTTTGGGACTACAATTGCATCTTTCAACATGGTTGACACGTGTGACTTTGATTGTTTTCATGGTTTTACTACTTCACATGAGATTCCAATGTGATTATATAGAGAGAACTGTAACATGTAATGTTTTACTTACTGATATTAGGTCAACAGTTTTAGTGTGTGTAAGAGAGAGAGAATGCACGTATATTGAAAAGACTACGTTGTGGCACAAGCAAAATCAATTTTCCCTCCAAAAAATAAAGTAAAAAAAGGCCCATATTTTATTCCTACAAAGGTGACTTTTAAAACAAAAAAAAACCAAAATAACAATTAAAATCATTTCCAAAAGAACCAACTCTATGAATTTGTTTTACTGCATATCTTCCTGATCTCTCCTGCCTTTCCTGCTAGCACACCAATGTCCCCCATCCTCTTCATTGAAGCTGCGAACTCTGTGAAAAAGTTCCGAGAATTCTGCATTTGATCGACAAAAAATCGCGAGTTTGCGTTGGTCAAGAGCGTGGCATCAGATATGAAGAAGCCTTTGTGTTCCTTGAGGATTTCGAAGTAATGGTTATCGAAGGACAGGGAGCTGTTGGGGTCCATTCCGACGGTGATGGTGAAGTTTGGTGGATTAGGGCACTTGGTTTTGAGGAACGCAACATAGGTTGAGTTTAGAGAAGGGTCGGAATCTCCCTTGCCTGTGAAGTTGTAGAGCCTGTTGGTTATGATGCCACAATGTCCCACTCCTATGGTATGAGCCCCTGGGTTTTGAGGAAAATCAACTAGGATCAGTTTGTATTCATCAGTCTTTCTCCTTGTCAGTGGTTCAGATGAGTTTGAGTTGGAGGTCAAAATTTAGATGAGTTTGAGTTGGAGGTCAAATTTTTTAAATAGGGGTTGTATATGTAAAATATCAAGGATCGTCACAATTACAAGGAGGTCGCAATTATTCACAACCACTATATGTAAAATATTATAGTTTAGATGTCCCACTGAGTTTGAGAAATTTTTTTTGAAATTTGAAGTTGATCAATGAAATAAATGGACCATCCAATTTCACATCCAGCGGTTAAGATTAATTGTGACGATCCTGTACCCAAGGTAAATAGTCTCATTGTATGCTTTTTCTTTTTAAAATACTGGTTTTGGATTAAGAGCCTATAAAATGTTACTTAATAAAGCACTAAGCAAATAAACAAGGAAAATTTAACAACGGTGAGGGCAAGTGAGACCATAGTTTTCAAGACTAAACCAAATCATTAAGTCTGATTGGTAGGACCTCTGCTAGTGCTTTAATCAGTTTGGTCCAAAACAAAAATCAAATTGGATTGAAAATCAGTTAAAATAATGTTTGATTAGGTAGACCAGTAAATTTTGAACGGTTCAACGTCAACGAATTAGATAAAATTAAACAATTATGTCTGATTATTTTATATTTTTAAACAATCGTTTCTATTTTTTTTTCATTAGTTTGAATTTCAACCCAACCAATATGATCGATGGGCGCATTGGTGTTGACTGGACTTGACTCTTCATTGGTGCTAGACATGATCCATGACTAGTGCGGTGCCGAGGGCCAATCTTGATAAAATTGGGTGAAATTATTCTTAATTATTGATAAATTACCTGACAAAACAACCAGGTCCTTGAGTGCGAGTCCTTTGTTGGCAAAGTTTTGGCGAAGAAGGGTCACATTTGAGGAAGGGGATGGTAAGTTTGGTCCCACCTCTGAAGCCAAGGACACATTCCCATCTCTCCTCCCCGTTAGCACTTCCCACAATGGCCTCTTATACTGCACATGCAATTCACACGTGTGAAATAAGATGCATGACAATTTTGGTGAGTCCGCTAGCCCACTAAAATATGTGCATCTCCTCATGCATCGGATGTCGAGAAGGGGAGTGGTTTCTCATAATTTTGTAAAAAAAAAAATAACTCATACGATAATAAACATGCACAAAAGGTGTCCGAACATTATTTTCTCAAAACCCTGAAACGATATGCAAGTGCTTCCATCGACTGTTCAACCATTTTCAAAAAGGGTGATGGAGGTGAACCATGGTTCGGCTTGGCAAACATTTAATTAAAATGAGCTTCATCTTTGCCGTACATTGCACTAGACAAATGGCCGAGGCCTGACTGTTGATCGTATAACTTACATACTGAAGCTACAGAAGAGTACCATAAAAACCGCACCTGGAAGGAGACGGCATCCCGTGCTGCCAAAGCCAGAATATCAGCACAAGAGACTTGACCCTGGCATTTTGACTCGAGGAGGGCCTTAAGTCGGTCCAAGATGTCGAATCCAGCTAGGGTTAGGTTAGGGACCGCGTCCTTCTCGGCAGTGCTGTTGCTCGTCGAGTTCAACAATATAGAGGCATCGCAACCCTGCAATATAGTTCATTACAAGATTACAACATGAAATTTGATCAAACTTTAGTGAAATTTTGTCTCATTGAAGAATCTCAAAACATCACGTTGTGTTGCCTACCACCCCAACCAATTGTACTGGTGTTTACAGACATCTTGGTCTTGTCGAAGATGAGAGAATGTGTGTTAATGTGTGAAAAAATTAGAATGAGTAAAAGGAACCCACCCTCACAAAGCAATCGTGAAAATGCAGCCTGAGCAGCTTTGCAGGCAATGCAGAGTTGTTGCCATTAGAGAGCTGCCCCCATATGAAATTTCTCACCGTCTCCTCTGCCTTTGGACAAGTTTTCTTATAGAAATTCTTCCTCAAACTCCCTCCACTGCACACACCAACCCCAAAAACAAGCATGCAAGAAAACAATAACACTACTACGTTCTTCATCTTGCTTCCTCTTTGGTGCACTTGCCTCTTCCCTGTCTCCTTTATATAGCTTCTTGGCACCGGATTATTAATGTTAAAAAGAACTGATTGGTTGTCGATTGACAGAGAGAGTGTGTGAGTGAGATACGCGTTTAACAACATGGGGTTCGATTAAATATGTACGAGTCATTTACATACAGACCCTAAAATATTTTCTAAAATATGAAGTGCTTTATATATAGGTAGAAATTTAGGCAACCCATTTTTTTCAAAATTGACCCTTTGTATGAGGACATCTTCAGACTGAATATTAATTTTCTTTTAAATTTTGATCATTAGGAGAGCACTGCCCTAAAGCTTGGGGCAGTTCCCTACTAATGAGAATCTAAAAAAAAAAAACTAAAAAAAATTGAAATTCAGATCGAGAAGTCCATCCTTAGACCTAAGGGCAATCGTGAAAAAAATAATAATACAGGTTGACCAACCTTTAAAAAGAGATGATTGGCTGTCGATTGAGAGAGAGAGTTGAATGTTTGATAACATGGGGGTTGATTAAATATGTATTTGAGACTTAGGCTTAACATACACCCTGTCGTTTCAATATTATATCAATATCATCTTAGCACGACATGAATAGATTAAGATAGTGTTTGACATTGATCATTGAATATTATATTAGAAGAGAGTTTATGCTATTCCTGCACAGCAGTCAGGAATCTACTCGCCCATCAACACATGCCTCCAATCCTAAAAGGTCAAGCTTTCTAAAGGTTATATCCCTGTGTGTCTCCAAGCTTCTAGCAAGAACTAAATAGCCTTTGGCCATCGCGGATTGCTCATGCTTTTAAATATTCTAATTTCGGTTTAAGAGAATTAGCTCTGACTTGGTGGCTTATATCTCTCTCTTACAATTAAATTGAGGGGACACACATATAATAAGTAGGAGATTGAGAGATTATGCTCTCTAGGAAGTCCACCCTAAAACGAGCCTCTTCGTGAGTCTCTAAAAGGCTTAATTTTATTTATTGTTATTTTATTGTTCAACTTACGTATATATATATATATATATATATATATATATATATATATATGTAAATAAAGCAAAATTATGTATGGAGCTAAAATATGAAATGATTTGATTATAGGTGAAAATTACAAGGAAGGTCAGTCAACTCACGTTTATTTACTTCTTCTTTTTTTCAAAATTGACCCTCTGTCCGAGGATGCCGTAAAAGAAAAGCATCGGCTCCACTGGGATTTTTCTTTCCATATCTATGCCCACACTACATCAGCATTAGTGAAAATAAAGAGGTCGGTTTTACCGAAGAAGAGGGGTAGGTCAGGTGCTTGAGGGCCCCCTTCTGCAACAAGTGCTTGTTGGACCCCCACCCATGTTTCCCAAGAGGGGGCCGACGTGTGTTTCCCCTGCGGCTGGCTAGTGGTGGTAGAAAACGACGTGGAATCCTCGAACCACATTTAATTTTATTTTTTTGGTTTTTTTCATTAAATGCCCCAAGCTTTAAGGGAAGTGCCCGGGTGGTCCGAGTTTAGAATCCTCGGACCGCCTAGTGAACACAACAAAACCCTAGTAGAGCAGTCTGAGGTCCTCATCCTCAAACCGCTATTTTCTCAAAAAATAAGAAATAAAGCGTGGTCCAAGGATGGGGATCTCAGACCGCCCTAGAATTGAGTTTTGTTATGTCCAGAGAGCGGTCCGAGGTCCCCATCCTCAGACCTCTATTTTTCTCAAAAAATTAGAAATAAAGAATTATCCATATAGAGATCTCAGACCACTGTTTTTCTCAAACAATAAGAAAGAAAGAGCAGTATGAGGATGGGCACCTTGGACCGCGTAGGAACTGAGGTCAGCTCAGTCCAAAGGGTGGACCGAGGATTCTAAACTCGGATTGTCTTGGCACTGCCCCTAAAGCTTGGGGCACTGCCCTACTAGTCAAAAAAAGTAAAAATAAAATAAAATTAAATGCGGTCTTAAGATGCCATCCTCAGACCGAGGAACAATTTTGAAAAAAATAAAAAAAGTGGGTTGACTGACTTTCCTTGTAATTTCAGCATATAATCGAATCATTTTGTATTTTAGGTAAAGTTTTCGAGTCCGTACGTAAATCACTCTAAAAAAAAATACCAAAATTCTGATTTGCTCCTAAGAACCTTAATCACAATTAAATCCTAGCCCTTTGTCTTTTTGAAAATAAAGTTCCAACTCTTTTACTTGATTCACTATAACAACAAAAAAGCATTCATATCTAAGATAATATGAAGAGAAAAAAGAAAGACAAAATAACCCTTATTTTCTATCTCAAAAAGAAATTAAAAAAATAATGTCATTCTCACGGGATCTAACAATTAAATCAAAGACTGTATCTTTTGGGAAAGGTTTCTATGCTTCTCTAATAACATAGAAAACATGTACTTCCTCTCCCATCAAGCTTTTCAATTTAGATCAAGTGAGCCACGGACAGTTTGATTTTAGATCCGATGCTTCAGAGTATTTTAGTTTTAGTTTTTTATACGAATTGTATGAATATAAAATTTGGTACGTACCATATTCTCATTGGGGGTGCACCTAAAAATATATTAAAAGAATTTCTCGATAAAATATAATGATGCTTTCAGGGGTATTTTAATCTTTTCATTTTATTGAGAAGATTTTTATTTTTATTTTTTACAAGTGCAAGTTTAAGAGGAGAGTGGATGCCCAAAATTCGCTGTCAAAATATTTTTTAAGAGGAGAGTGGACGCCCAAAATTAGGTGTCAAAATATTTTTTACATTGTGATTGGGTGATTGGGGCCAAAATTCGGTGTCAAATTTCGGTGATCGGGGCCATCTCAGCCGTCCATTCCAAATGAACGGTTAAATAGATGGAAGTATATAAGTTTTATGCAGTAGTATAAACATATAAAACTTGCCAATATCTTTTTGTCATCCTTCAAGTGTATTTCTAGATGCTCGTTTCTTTATCAAATCATCAGTTTCTCTAACCAAATGAGTTCTACCCTCTTCATGCGTTCATAAGCGTGGTATCCTATTTCACTCCACTTACAACATTGGAGGAAGCCACTTGATCTTGTTCCCTCTTGCCTTCACAAAATTTTAGGTGGTGGCAAGCCTTCATCTCTGTAAGGAGTCATTTACCAATGACCCACTATAACTTGGCCTGCGTGCTAGTGCAATTTGAAAAGCCACACTTGATGTCCATGGCTGGTGTTGAAAAACATTATCCCTAATGGCTGGTTGAAGCCCTAAAAGTCTATTAAAGTTCCATATATAATCCTCTACTCTCTTACAAATATGTCAACGATTTTTGAGGTCTTTGAGAAAAAGAAAAAGAAAATTTAATATGGAGCTTACTATGAAACTCAGGTAAATCCACTTTGATGTCGAGATCTCTCTACAAGCCATGATTCTTATCTCGAAATATGCTCAATCAATCAGTAGAGTAAGTTATGAGTTTGATTGATCTTTTAGTTGAGACTTGGTACCTGTAGGGATCTTGAGAACCCCTTAGCTTACGGAATCGGGAATCTCAAATACCGAGATCCCACCCAAAATCGTATACATGATTGGCTAGTAGGGTTCTCGGGAATCCCTAGGCTTGCGAAACCAGGAATCCCAATTTCCGAGATCCCACCCAAGATTGTGTATATGATTAGCTAAACACGAAGTAGATGAATACAACTATAAATCAAGTGCGAGAAATAAAGCAAACATAAAAAAACACACCACAACAACACATGATTTATGTGGTTCACCTTGTTGGGCTACATCTACGGCCTCGACAACTAAAAATCCATTATCACAATGAAGATTACAGTTTTGGGTTGCAATAGATAATACCTATATCGAAAGATTGTCAAAAGACCATCACCGATCTTTCCTTCTAAACCCGCTCTCCAGATTGAGCCACACCGTCGATCAATATCATCTTTCCCATCGCAATACCTTTACCGGAAAGATAACATCAAGTGCAACATAGGGATTTTCTCTCTCTAGAAGTGAAAGTTAACCAACTCATAACTTATGGGAATACCACCTCTCTTTCGGAGGTCATGTCTCTTTCTTGGAGACCCATCTCCATATTGGAGATCCATTCCCATAACCCCCAAAAGGGGTGACCCTCAAAGGATATAGGTATTATGTCCTCCTTAACCCTCTTATAAAGATATATAACTTTCTTGTTTCCTAAAAAAGTCAATTTTCTATTTCTTATAATACCCTAATCTTTAGAAGAAAATATAGGTATGGTGATTTAGCGATCACCAAACCCAACAATCTTCACCTTGATAGAAAAATCATCATAATTGCCTTGACAGCCTTCTTTGAATATATTTCTTGATTTCTTTATACTTGTCTTTATTGTGGAATTTTTACAAATACTTTATCGTCATATTTCTCCACCTCAAACCATGGATATTTCTTGATTTCTTTTTACTTGCCTCCATTGTGGAATTTTCACAAACACTTTACCTTTATCTTTTTCCACCTCAAACCATGTATCCATAAAACTTCGTTATTCCTCTTTTTCTTAATACAAACCTTAGCCCCGTACATACCGTGTGCTTTGATACATCTTTTTGCAGCACAGGTGAGAGAAAGAAACAAAAAAGAAAATAAATTAAGTGTTCAAGCTTTTTTCTTAAAGCTTGTGAAGGGATCCACCCCAAAACAATTTTTCACAAGCACAAAAAAAAAGGGAAAAAATTTATATAAGGTTGCAACCTTAAAATGTAGAATTCAAGATGCACCTCAAAAATCTATCGCAAAAAGGTTGTTTTAATGTTGAAAAACCCTATAATTGATCATGTCGATATCGAGATATGTGAATATGAATATATATATATATATATTTTTTATTTTATTTTTATTTTTATTTTTTTTTAAATTTCTAGAAATAGTGCATATTAAAACACATTATCTAGCTTGTACATTTTCAAGATTTTCATATCTTTATAGATCTACTTGATTTTAACCATTTTTTAAGTTTAAAATTTTATAATTAGA